GGGAGCTTCGTGTGAGGTATGGTATGATAATAGGAGAAGGTTATCTTCGCATTGGTTGCCTTGCCACTGATCTTGATCAATTTCTTATAGTCTGAAAGGAGCGCTACACTTTTGCCTTCCCTTTATCGACTGACGACTACTGGTAGACATAGCCGATGAAGCGGGGTTTTTTTATGTTCTGCGACGACATCGAAATTCATTATTGATCGCAGCTGTCACTCGCCATAATATTGTGCGGCATTTGAAATGGGTGAAAACGGCTAGTTGAAAGCATACAGGGAACTGGAATGATGGACTAATTAGTGGTGGGCTATGTTAAGGGCTTTCGGAAGGGCTCGAAGTAGAATGAGCGGAGTCAAACTTGTTGGCCCCGAAAAGGGCCTGATTCGCAGTGTTCATCGTAACTAGGAAGAGGTTTTGGGAGAAAATTAGTCAGATTCTACCGATTTCGAAATTTAAAAATTGCTATCTTTCTGTCTACCTGAATTTCTGCCACGGTATTAATACCGGAAATTGCGCTTACTTTTTGGGAACGGTGAGCCAATGGCTACAGCTGATCGAGATGTATGTGGCTTCAGAAACTAGGTCCTCTTCTGGCAGGCAAAGACTTCCGTCCATTAGTTTTAACCGTAGTGTATTTTCCTTAGCTCTGGAAATATGCTTAGACTTGATACGGTGAAGAAGGTTAAGGTTCGAATTCAGAAGTGGAATTAATTGAAATTAAATGGATAGGGCGAAAGTAGAGCGACAAGTGTCTCTTCCTGCATTTATTTGTTATCAGATCGAATAGTTTATTGATTATTTCAGGTGAACCCTTCAATGTGATGTCTCGTAAGGTGCTTTGTGCAGGTACGAAGGAGTTGGCGCAAAGTCTGAGCAATATTCTCACGCATGCTGAATTTGAACCTGAAGGCTAAGCATTGAAGTATAGCAGATTCTCCTACTTGTAGGGTTACACTATCGGAAAGGATTCGGTTAGAAAAATCGTTATATTGTGTTTTATTTATTAGGTGTGAGGTGTGGTTTTTGTGCTCACTTAACGTGATTATCAAGCTTTTATGATGTCATTCCGTATCCTCCTTGTAGGTGCAATGAGTATAATGAAATTTATTTATGATTCTGCGAATGATGATCTTCATTTTCAAGGATCTTTCATTGAGAGCAATTGTAGAGTTATTAATAATGTGATAAATTTTTGTGAAATTGCATCAGTCATGTTCTTATCGAGCTGTTCGGTTGATCAGCTGAATCTATCGCCTTTAGGATTAAAACATGTGTTTTTTATGCTTTATTTTACAACTAACGTTTTTACTTGTACAGTTGCAATCCGAGGAGATCTGGTGGCTGCGCAATGGCTGAGCCGAAAAGCAACCAGTTCACTCAGGAGGAGGTACAAAGCATCATTAAACAAGTAAGTGATTTCGGCTGTTTGCTTTTGTGGTGCTAATTTTATTCTTTTCTTTTTCTGTTTACTGCTTTTATTGCGGAACAAAATTTTACGTCATCGAATTTTTCTTAACTCGCCACATCCCGTAGCAACCGTGACCCGTTAAAAATGGCCTATCTGTTGAGTGCATACCATACATTGCACTCAAGATCTTGATTGTGATGTTAGATTACTTTTCACAGATCACGGTTTCCAAAATTATTTCTAGTATCCATCGCACGTACTAGGACAAAACATTAGGGTCAAGGTTCGGGTTTTCATAAAGTGGGGAATCAAAAAAAGGTTGCAAACGATGAAAATTGAAGGTTGCAGTATCTTCTTTCTGCACCAAATCTAGCCCGCATATCAGCACTTGGTGGGGCACTGTCCTAGTCTTTCGTTTCGCACATTTGAAAAGGTAGCTTTTCAGTCCATTAGAAAGGTTTCTGGCATAGTTTTCTAATTTTGCAATCCTTGTTACTTTCATTATGCTCACTTTCCACTTTATTTTGATGAAAATTAAGTGCATAGTGGATTCATGCTGGTGTGGTTTTTATTTCTTCTCAAATTTGTTAGTTTTTATCTTCTTAGATCGGGTATTGCTATTTTACCATTTTCGATTCATTTATTATGCAATGACTTCACTGGATCTCTGGTCCTCTCATAATGTGGACTATTAGTAGTCCCCCACCTGAAAATATCGAAAAACACTAAAAAATTGCTTCTCCTAGTTGACATTTGTAATAAAAAAGACCTGAGTGGGGCCTCGACATGCGAAATTTTCTACGGATACATTTCCGCTACTGCCTTAGAATTTGTGAAGATCCTTATATTGGGTAATCGGAATTAAGTTGGAAGAGCAAGTAAATGCAATGCTTGGATGCTGGTGAGGTCAGTGTTTTTGCATGCGAGGAATTTCAGGTTCTGGACGAGGTGATTGGCTTAAGCCCGTATAATTATGCAGACAGTTTGAACTGGAACAAACAGGCTGTTGAGCAGATTACGAAGAGACTTGTGGCACTGAATAGACCATATAAATACATAGGTGAGTCTGCACAGTTGTGTTGTGATTTTGTTTGACTAAATCTTTACTTAACTGAGTAATTTACTGGTTACCGGTTTCAGTAAATTCCTCTCTTTTGCAAATTGGTAGTGGAACTGGTATGAATGTGAGCACCATTTCGTACTGGAACAAGGCGACTGATCGTGAGTAGTTACTTTTTTTATTCGTCTATTCTTAGTCAATCTTTTCCTCTTTCTTTGTTTCGACGATTCTGATGTGCTGAGGCTGTAGTGATCTCATAGTTTGGGGGTAGCGTTTGCATCTTAAAGGAGCACGTTTGACTCTATCAGCGTTCGGTAACATGTATTCCTTTCCAAAAGGTGGTATGAGTCAAAGCGCACGAGATGGGCGTCTCCCTTTCTCTTGCGCTGTGGTAGTGTACCTATCGTAGCACCAGCTCCATTATTCACCAAAAACTCTAAAATTGCTCGCGCGAAAACATGTAACGTTTTCTCGAAAATAACAGGTGATCATTCTTTCTTTTCCTTGTCAACTCGCGTATCGGAATGCTATAGCCATAAATAACGGAGAGATTTTGTGGAAATAGACGGCAGAGTGTGAAATGATTCGTGGGTTTATGCTCTCAGAAATGCAAGTAGATGGGCTTGACACAGTCGCTAATGATCGCAACCTTTCAAGTGAGAGAGGGATTTGCGCCTTTCTCGTTGGACCTCTTCCATTTACTGTATCAAAAGAGGGGCCTGGGCGAACGTGCAGTTGTTTATGCAAGGCCAACAATTGCCTTGGTAAAATTGTGGACTCGGCCGCCGACCACGGTCAACCGTCGCATTCGTAATTTTCCAAGAATCTTTGCGACCCCCACAAACACATCAGCCTTGCAGGGTCCCCCCCCTTCGTAGACCACCGACCATCATCGTCATCATGACTGGTTTATATGGGTGTGTTGAGCCAACTTTCCGCCACCCATTCCTCTGGAACGGCCGTCGAGCGGAGGAGGAGGGGATAGGGAGGCTAACGATCCTCTCCTGAAACCACATCCTCCCATAAACACTCTTTCCAAGTATGGCTTACCTTACTCAACCCCAGATGCACCCCCCAAAAATCATGGATGCGACCCCCTCGTTCGAATAGTGCGAAGGGACGGTTAACCCTACCGCCGGCCACCTCCAAGACTAGCGCGTTGATAGTTTCACTTAAGAACCACATTCCATATTGAAAAAAGGAGAGGAACGTGAAATATACTATTTGTAAGTGCAGAAACGGTAAGAATTGCGAACTTTCTGAATTCTCCCTATTTTTGTTAAAAATTTCCCCTTCAAGAGTTTTCACAGTACCTAGTTCACCGATACGATTCTCCTTCCAAAAATCACAAATCGTTGAAGTTTGGCCACAATACGATTGACTTTGGATCAAAACGGCTTTTCCTGTAATTAATCTGCTTTCGAGGGCTCGCTGACTGATAGGGAGATTACACATACATATGCATCGTACTTGTACATTACAATGCTTAAATATAATTGTATTATACTTGGTGATGGATGAACGATTTCAGTATCGTGGCAGTATCGCTGGGAAACAAAGAATATCCTGGTCGTTGTGTACGTATATGCGTTGGCGACTTCGTAACAAACGGGAGATAGAATGATATCACTTTGCAGCTATTCATTTTGTTTTGTTTTTTCTGCCCTTACGATATGTGGCCTACGTTGTACTCGAGATCATCATCATCATCTTCTTCATCATCATCATCGTCATCATCAATTTCGTCTTCCCTTCATCTTCTCTAGATGTTCTCGGTGTTGTAGTGAGCAGAAAGAATGACTTGGCATCGTGTGCTTCTGTATTCACCATCATTATCATTATCATCGCTTTTGTATTTTTCGATAGTTATGGAACTGAGTTCCATGGCATTTTGCCCCCAACGCTATCGCCGCCTTCAGAAGTACGGTCTTCTCCATCAGTCTTGTCAACGTCGTTTTGACTAGTAGTTTTCCATTTATCTTGAGATATTTTCTTATGACCAGAGATGTTTTTTTTTGCAGATGTATTGCGAATATTATCCTACTATTTTGTTTGTTGTAGTAGTTATGAGTGTTATCGATTATCATGTCATGCGCCGCGTTTTGAGCTTTCCATTAGATTTCAGTATAGTTAGTAGTAGTAGTAGCAATAATGAGAAGACTACGCCAAGCCAATTGTGCCCGCCGCTCGCCTGCCCTTCAACGCGCGCTCGTCGCTCGCTATCATACCACCATCGCCGTCGCCACCGTCATCACACCAACGCCACCTTCGCCATTACCATCTCTCTGTATTGTATTCATATAATTGAATGACGTGAGTACGTGATGAGATGTGCTGTGAGGTTGTGTCGCGTTGTTGTAGCCATAAGATTGATAGCTTCACTTGTAGATGCAGCCGTCGTCGTTGTGTCGCCCATGCACGTCGTCGTCGTCGTCGTCGTTGATCAGTTGAGTACTTCTGTCTACCTTCTTTTCTTCATCGTTCGCTCCCTGATGTACCGGTTCTGTTATCGAAAGTTTTATTTCTAACTTGTTTTTTGCATATTTTCTTAAAATGAAAGAAGTTTTATTGATTGTTCATGTATCACTATAAAATAATGGAACAGAAAGGCAAACAACAATTAATAAGACACAAACAATAAGAATTTCGCACTGGGTAATCCATTTATACTTATAACCTGGTCGTGTCGTTCACTGAGAATTCCTGTGGTTTTACAAGTAATTAGGTTTGGTCCTGATTCATTTGGATGGTGATTTTAAATTGCTACGCATCATTATCGCGATGAGAACGATTTCACTGTTTTCTAGCACACCGGTGAGTGGGCGGGGTTTGCGAGGTGGGCGGGGTCTGTGGTCAGCGACAGCGAAACACCATAAGAACGGGCTCAAACTCGAAAGAAAGTTATATTCTTTGGCGTACAAATGTGATATGCGCATGGCTCACATGAACTCCTAAGGGGGATCGAAATACAAAATGTACAAAACTATGAGTTAGTTCGGAAAAAGAGGGAATAAATTTCGTACAGCTGGGAAGCTCAAAGGGTTCGTACCATTATAATTAGCAGGGCCTCTTATTGAGGGTCGAGGCAAGGTAATAATAGAGGAAAAAAACGTAGAAAATCCATTATAAGGAGCTTTTGAATACAACCTGTGGAGCAAAGTGAATTAAAGAAAACCCCTTTGCTTGCTAATTTTTAAGCTCCCCAATAGGCTTTTGTAGTATTCGAGTTGGGTACCCTCTACTCCTGAAGACGAGAAGAGCCAGTGGCGACGGCCAAGAAAAAGAACCGCTTTTTTTCTCGGCCCTCGTCACTTATGGTGTGTGTTCTGCACTCGACACTCTTCTCGTTTTCCGAAATAGAGGGTAATTTCCACTAATTGATCTTTGCGTCAAATCGATAGTCGGTTATGTACAGTCAACAAAAACAAGGAGACAATGAAAGATGGCGCGAAAAAAATAATAGAGGGGTGGGCCCTAATTCAAGCAAAAATCAATTTCTTCGAAGTCTCGGATACATGTTCAAAAACGAAGTGGTGCGAGGCTTGCATTGACAGTAACCACCGTCATGACCAGGAGTCCCAGGCTTGCCTGGACAACCAGGAATTCCCAGGACACCTGGCGCTCCCGGACGACCGTTGTTTCCTGGAGGACCACGCAAACCTGGGCTGCCCATTGCTCCAGGCTTTCCTGGAGCACCAGGTCTACCTCGACCTCCAGGTCGACCATATTGTCCAGGCGGACCACGTCGGATGGTTCTGCGTAAGCCGAGTCGACCAGGGCTTCCTGGCTTTCCAGGAGCACCCGGCATTCCCAGAGCTCCTCTGTCACCGGGTGGACCCATTGGTCCTCTGGTGCCTGGTCTCCCAGGTTGACCAGGTGCTCCCGCAAGACCTGGTGGCCCAGGGGGACCTTGTGGCCCAGTTGGTCCAGGTAAACCTGGTGGTCCTGCACGACACTTGATGCATTGGTTAGAGCCTAGAAGAGGTGGTGGAGCTCTGTAGCCTAGTGACGCTGCTTCTTCGAAACTCATTGGTGGACGTACGGACGGAGGACAGGCTACATGATCAGGTCCGGGTTGTCCGTCATCTCCTGGTCTACCTGAATAATGGCTAGAAAAGCATCTGTATGGTAATGGTTGTGGGTGGGAGGTAGTCTACAGGTCTGTCATAAAAGCTTCGGTGAAGCCGCAACGCGACCGCACGCTGGATGTCTCCGCCCCTTCTCACACGGCGCAAATACCTTTGTTTATAAGCGATAAATAGGAGAGTGATAAACGAATTTAAGCGGTCCTTCTTCTGGGCCAATCAGGTGTTCCATCCCTCCGGGGTCGGTTAATTGGTACCAGACTTGTCTGGGAGGATAAAAAACACTGTACATCGGCTGGCCCCGCAAGTCATTGTATAGGCCACATCGCATTCAAACGCCACTACGAATGTACAAATGGAAGTAGAATGCGTGCCGCATCCCAAAAAGGGATTGATCAACGGCAATGCTTTATCCTTTATCCTTTTACCGAGGACATTGCCCCGGACACACATCAGACTGCGTTAGATAGAATGGGATCTCCGTGTGTGACCAGGTTGCGCTCAGCAGGGACACCAGGAGTTGCCACTGGAGAGGGTAACAGGCTGAGGAAGTGGAATGTGGGAGAAACTTTAGCCACTAATAACAAATAAAAAAGAATTAGAAGAACAAAAATTTGGAAAAACCGCAGTAGAACTGACCAGGAAGTCCAGGCGGTCCACGTTCTCCTGGCAGTCCAGGAGGACCTGCTGGACCAGGTGGACAGGTGCGCGTGATCGGCTCACACTTGCACCAGCTTGGAAGTCCCTCGTAAGCGCGACGTCGTGGTCGAAACAGTGCCATCACATCATCGGATGTTGATGATAAAGCGCTCAGCGAAGGCAGCGAAAACCGCAGTCGCATCATCTCAGTCCATGCTGAGTTGGTATTGACTCGGAAATCGTGTACTGCTTCTAGCACCTGAAATTCAGTTCCAGTTGAGGATGATCCTGAACGGAGCAAGTGCCACACACACCTACCGTATCACAGACACCATGCATTTCGATGAGGAGCAGCGACATCGCGATGCCGCACGCGACTGTCGCCATCAGTGCGCATACGCACGCCACACAGCCGATAATTCGTTCCACGAATAGTACTGTCATGGTGTGAGCTCACACCGATGAACGAGTGTGACTGCTTTATAGGCTGTCCCACTTAGAAGGACCGCCCTCGAGATCGTATCGGTGCCGTCCGTTCACATAACTGCCCACAAATAGCACTTTGGAGTCGCTTCCGAGGAAAAATGCGAACCCTCTGAGAGGTTTTGTTTCAGCCATCAATTACGTGCGAGAAGACATTAAAAGGGAGCGTTGCCGACGTCCAGCGCTTTCTCAGCATTAAATTATGCTGACAATTCACGACAAACCACAAATTATGAATTGCTTAAAGTATACCTATGATCAAGCGAGTGGTAAACTGCTCGTCTCTGACCGTGACCTTCGGGCTACGCCTTGCATTTGTCCTCCATGTGAGATCGTAGGAGCGCTTGGCACACAAGAGAAGATTTATCAAGTCTAAAGGCACAGCTCACGATCAAACTTGTGTGATTTTCACTTACAGAAAGAAAGGTGAAGATTAAAAGTTGACCGGCAGTGGAGAAAAAAGGCGAATAATCCCTCGAAAACGCAATGCAAGGGCTACCTCATTTTTGTAGTTTGCTCGCAGTAAGACACTAAGACGCTGAGCGTGGAGGAGAGAGGACAGGCGAGAAAGCGCAAAAGAAGAGAGGTTGCAGATACCCGCATGTTGCTAAAGAGAAAAACTGAAGCGGTTGAAGCGGTCTTAGCACAACCCTAGCGCCCTCGTCCCGCACATCTGAGCTGAGGAAACGAAACATCTGCGAATCCCTTGGATTGCTCTACCAGAAGTTACCTCACCCGAGCTTCATCGTGGGATGTGCCTT